GATGGTGGTGGTGGTGGGGAGGATGGGAGGAAGCTCAGACCGAGGACTCCTCGGGGTTGGAATCGGGCAGAGGTTGGCGCTGCTGGAGTTTGCGGCGCAGCTCCTCGGCTAAATCGGCGCAGGGTGGGCGCTCCTCGGCACCCAGCGCCAGGCGGATGTACCCGTTGGAAGAAGAACCCCTCAATGGACCCAAGTGGATACGGGTTGGAGAATGGAGAGGTTGCCCGGGGATGGGGGCAGGGGGGGAGGTGGCAAGTGGTGGCCCACCGTTGCGACAAGCGGCGTGCCCCGGCACGATTTTGAGGGAACCGTCGGAATAATAATAACTGGCCGGATCCCAAAGTTTCTCATCCGAATCGGAAGCGGCGCTGGGGACGAAACGGGGGCTGGGGGGTTCCTTGGGCAACTCGATGGGATACACCAAGGTGCTCTCGATGGCTTTGCTCCCTTTGCCCAGTTCCTCCCGTAAACGTCGCCAAAGGGAGAGCACCACCAAGAGCAACACCAAGCACAGGGCGCCCAAGCAAACGGCCACCACCCACACCAGCCCCAAACTCTCCAAAGGTGCCCGTGTCTCCATGGGCACCACGTTCCCCGCCAAAACGGCCACCTGGTACACCTCACCACCCAAACGGGCACCTTGCTCCTCCGAAAAACAACGGTACGTGCCGCTGTGTTGGGCACCGGCCCCCGGGACCACCAGAGCCCGTAAACGGGCATCTTGTAGGACCAGAGCCTGTTGGGCCACCAGAGCCCGGCCTTCAAAGGTCCACAGAGCCTGGGCCAGGTTGGAACCCAAGCGACAAGTCAACACCAGGTCGGTGCCGGCCACCACCGTCACGTTTTTGGGGGTGATGGGTCCTGTGGGAGAGGGGATGAGGAGTCAGGAAGGGGGTGTCACCCTGTCTCCCGGCTCCATGTTGGCATTTTTGGGGGTTTGTTGGGGGGTCTCACCTTGCTTGGCCACCTGGGGGAGGGTGCAGGCACGGGTGTCGGAGCTCAGAACGTCCTGGACCAGCTGGGACCTGAGGGAGGAGGTGACAGGGGTGAGGAGGGGACACTGAGGTGATGGGGGGACCTGGAGGTGACAGAGGGGACCCAGAGGGGATGGAGAGGACCTGGAGATGAGAAGGGACCCAGAGGTGAAGAAGGGGACCCAGAGATGACAGAGGGGAACCAGAGATGATAAGGAGGGGACCCAGAGGTAAGGAGGGCACCCGGAGGTGACAGAGGGGACCCAGAGGTGAAGGAGAGGACTCGGAGGTGATGAGGGGACCCAGAGGTGACAGAGGGGACCTGGAGGTGACAGAGGGGACCCGGAGGTGATGAGGGGGACCTGAAGGTTATGGGGGGGACCTGGAGGTGAAGGAGGGTACGCAGAGTTGAGGACGGGACCTGGAGGTGAGGAGGGGACCCAGAAACGATGGAGAGGACCCGGAGGTGATGTGGGGACCTGGAGGTGAAGGAGGGGACCCAGAAGTGATGAAGGGGACCTGGAGGCAAGGAGGGGACCTGGAGGTGATGGGGGGGACTCAGAGGTGATGGGGAGACCCAGAGGTGAGGAGGGGACCCAGAGGTGAAGGAGAGGACCTGGAGGTGAGGAGGGACCCAGAGGTGAAGGAGGGGACCCAGAGGTAAGGAGGGCACCCAGAGGTGACGGGGGGGACCTGGAAGTGAGGAGGGGAGCCAGAGGTGACAGGGGGGACCCAGAGGTGAAGGAGAGGACTTGGAGGTGATGGGGGGATCCAGAAGTGATGAGGGGGACTTGGAGGTGAGGAGGGGACCCAGAGATGAAAGAGAGGACTTGGAGGTGAAAGATGGGACCCAGAGATGAAGGAGAGAACTGGTGCCAGGGTGGCACTCCTGTCCCCAAAACGGGTACCAGTACCACAGTGGCAGTCCCCAAGATGAATACTGGTGCCAGGGTGATGTTCCTGTCCCCATGGTGGGCACCAGTGCCAGGGTGGCAGTCAGTCCTGTCCCCATGGTGGGCACCAGTACCACGGTGGCAGTCCCCAAGACATATACTGGTGCCAGGGTGGCACTCCTGTCCCCAAAATGGGTACCAGTACCATGGTGGCAGTCCCCAAAATATGACAGGGGGGACCCAGAGGTGAAGGAGAGGACTTGGAGGTGATGGGGGGATCCAGAAGTGATGAGGGGGACTTGGAGGTGAGGAGGGGACCCAGAGATGAAAGAGAGGACTTGGAGGTGAAAGATGGGACCCAGAGATGAAGGAGAGAACTTGGAGGTGACAGAGGGGACCCAGAGGTGATGAGGGGGACCCAGAGGTGACAGAGGGGACCCAGAGGTGATGAGGGGGACCCAGAGGTGAGGAGGGGACCTGGAGGTGAAGGGGGGACCCAGAGGTGAAGGAGGGGACCCGGAGATGAAAGAGGGGACCCAGAGATGATGGGGGGAATCAGGAGGTGAAGGAGGGGACCAGGAGATGAAGGAGGGAACACGGAGGTTATGGGGAAACCCAGAGGTTATGTGGTGGTGACCCCCCCCGGACTCAGAGGTGAAGGAGAGGACCCAGAGGTGACGGAGGCACCAGGAGGTGACGGGAGGAGCTGGTGCCGCAGTGGGGTGACCCCCCCCAAGTCCCCGGGGAGCCCCCCCTTACCCATTGAGGCCGTCGGTGCGGACGCAGAGGCTGGCGTTGCGGCTCCAGGCGCAGTAGGGATCCCGGGCCAGGACACAGTCCGTGCACGACTGGTAACGGCCGCAGTCGGCCAGGGGCAACTGGGCCACCTGGAAACGGGAGCCAGCGAAGAGCAGCTTCTGCAAGGGACAGGGGGTGAGGTGACACGGGCTGAGGTGACAAGACACCCCAGGGGGCCCACCCCTCATCCCCATGGACACCCCTCACCTTCCGCCCGGCCAGGACCAGGCTCTCCACGGGTTGTGCTGGTTCAAAAACCTGCAGCTCCTCCACCAGATGGACACGAGAGCCCAGGTTCAAGGCCTTGTGCACCCAACCGTCACCTGGGGGGACATGGGGGGTGGTGAGGGACGTCCCCACACCCGCCGTGTCCCCCCTCAGAGAATCATAGAATCATAAAATCATTCAGGTTGGAAAAGACCCTTGGGATCATCGAGTCCAACCATCAACTCTACAAAGTTCTCCCCTACACCATATCCCCCAACACCACATCTAAACGACTCTTAAACTCATCCAAGGATGGTGACTCAACCCCCTCCCTGGGCAGCCTCTTCCAGTGTCTGACCACTCTTTCTGGGCAGCAGTCCTGTCCCCAAAACAGGCACCAGTACCATGGTGGCAGTCCCCAAGCCGTATACTGGTGCCAGGGTGGCACTCCTGTCCCCAAGGTGGGCACCAGTGCTAGGGTGACAGTGGTGTCCCCATGGTGGGCACCAGTATCACGGTGGCAGTCCCTATGACGTATACTGGTGCCAGGGTGGCACTCCTGTCCCCATGGTGGGCACCAGAGCCAGGGTGGCATTCCTGTCCCCAAAACCAGTGCCAGGGCAGCAGTCCTGTCCCCAAAACAGGCACCAGTACCATGGTGGCAGTCCCCAAGCCGTATACTGGTGCCAGGGTGGCACTCCTGTCCCCAAGGTGGGCACCAGTGCTAGGGTGACAGTGGTGTCCCCATGGTGGGCACCAGTATCACGGTGGCAGTCCCTATGACGTATACTGGTGCCAGGGTGGCACTCCTGTCCCCATGGTGGGCACCAGAGCCAGGGTGGCATTCCTGTCCCCAAAACCAGTGCCAGGGCAGCAGTCCTGTCCCCAAAACAGGCACCAGTACCATGGTGGCAGTCCCCAAGCCGTATACTGGTGCCAGGGTGGCACTCCTGTCCCCAAGGTGGGCACCAGTGCTAGGGTGACAGTGGTGTCCCCATGGTGGGCACCAGTATCACGGTGGCAGTCCCTATGACGTATACTGGTGCCAGGGTGGCACTCCTGTCCCCAAAACCAGTGGCAGGGTGGCAGTCCTGTCCCCATGGTGGGCACCAGTACCACGGTGGCAGTCCCCAAGATGAATACTGGTGCCAGGGTGGCACTCCTGTCCCCAAAACCAGTGGCAGGGTGGCAGTCCTGTCCCCATGGTGGGCACCAGTGCCAGGGTGGCAGACAGTCCTGTCCCCAAAACCAGTGCCAGGCTGGCAGTCCCCAAGACATATACTGGTGCCAGGGTGGCACTCCTGTCCCCAAAATGGGTACCAGTACCATGGTGGCAGTCCCCAAAATAAATACTGGTGCCAGGGTGGCACTCCTGTCCCCAAAACCAGTGCCAGGGTGACAGTCCCCAAGACGTATACTGGTGCCAGGGTGGCACTCCTGTCCCCAAGGTGGGCACCAGTATCATGGTGGCAGTCCCTATGACATATACTGGTGCCAGGGTGGCACTCCTGTCCCCAAGCCGGGGGCACCATCCCCTCCATCCATCCCCACCCCCCGGGGTGTCCCCC